GATACGCCTTTATATCCCTGTGGGTTTTTCTCTCGAAAACTAACACCTGCAGAGAAGAATTATGACATTGGGAATAGGGAGTTATTGGCCATTGTACTTGCCCTTAAAGAATGGAGGAATCTCTTAGAAGGTTCCAAAGAGCCACTTCTGATTTTTACCGATCATATGACTTTGGCTTATATTGGGGACACTAAGAGATTGTTCTCTCGTCAGGCTAGATGGTCATTGTTCCTCTCCCGATTCAATTTTGTAATTACGTATAGGCCCGGGACAAAGAACACCAAGGCAGATGCGCTGTCTAGGCAGTTTGAGACAGATGAGGTTCCTGAACAAGAGGTATTCCCTATCATACCTCCAGAATGCCTTATTGCCACTACAATTTCCGAAGTGTCTTCTCCACTCTTCTGTGCCATAATAGCAGATCAAACTCAGGCACCCATGGAGAGACCTCCGGATAAACTGTACATTTCACCACCATTAAGGTAGAAGGTACTTGGATTATTCCATGATAATTTGACAGCAGGTCATCCTGGAGTCCATAAAACTCTCTCTGCTACCTCCAAGAGGTTCTGGTGACCTACACTTAGGAACGACAAGATTATGTAGGGGCATGTCAAATATGTGCCATTTCTAAAGCCTCTCACAAATCTCCTCCTGGGCTGCTACAACCATTGCCGATACCTAATGCTCCATGGACCCATTTAGCCATGGATTTCATGGTGGATCTGCCCAGTTCAAACGGATTTAACACAATCCTTATGGTCAAAGATAGATTCTCAAAAATGGCACATTTTGTACCTCTTAAAAAATTACCATCTGCTCAAGATCTTGTACGAATATTTATGAAAGAGATCTTTCGGTTACATGGAGTGCCAAAAAACATAGTATCTGACAGAGGTACCCAATTTATTTCTAGGTTCTGGCATGCCTTTTGTAAGCAATTGGGTATAGAACTTTCATTTTCCTCAGCGTATCACCCTCAGATTAATGGCACAGCAGAGAGGGCCAATCAGTCTTTAGAATTTTATTTAGGTTGTTTTATCGATGCCAATCATTCTAACTGGTACGAACTCTTACCCATAGCTGGGTTTGCCAGAAATAATGCGACTCATGAATCCTCTAATCATAGTCCATTTTTTGTAAATCAGGGTTATCACCCCACTGTTTTATCTTCTGAATTTTCAGACACTGATATTCCTGCCTTGAACACCCGTTTGGATTCTATTCATGACACTTGGGATTCCGTTCATACAGCACTACAGAAGGCATTAAAACATGCTAAAATCCAAGCTGACAAGAGACGGGGTGCCAATCCTGTCTTTCAACCAGGAGACAAGGTGTGGTTATCCACACGTCATGTCAAACTTAGGGTTCCCTTCATGAAATTTGCCCCTCGGTACATAGGTCCTTTTCGGGTCCTCCGTCGTATCAACCCTGTGACTTATTCATTGGTACTTCCTGCTCACATGAGAATTGCCAATTCATTTCATGTGTCCTTGCTTAAGCCTCTTACTTGCAATCGATACACCAAAGTGGCTGCCCCTCCTCTGCCCTTGGTAGTGGGTGATCAGGAGGAGTATGAAGTTCATTCTATATTGGACTCCAAAATCTCCAGGGGTATTTTGTCTTATCTAGTTGACTGGAAAGGATATGGTCCTAAGGAACGTTGTTTGGTTCCCGCTGACCAGGTTCATGCATCTTATCCGTTCATTTCACAACCGCTTCCCTTGTAAGCCGGCTCCTTCCCGCCCGGTGAGCGGTATTCGAGTGGGGGGTACTGTTGCGGCTCCCGGCCCGCCGCATGGCGCAGCCGTGCCCGACCGGCACGACCTCGCCGATATTGCGAGCTTACCTTACTCCTCCACGTCTTCTGGGCGTTGCGCCCAAATCAAAGATGGCGCTGACCATGTGGTCGCGCACACCACAAGCTCCGCCCCTCAAATTTATACGGACGAGCATGTGACATCACAACATCATTCTAAGGTCAGGTTTACGCTCTGTCCTTTTATTTCCTTTCCTTTTTTATGTATATGATTACATAGTTTCTGCCTGTTGGACCACACTAGCAGCCGTGACATTAATATGGGGTTCATATTTATCAATAGTTTGGCAGATTGAATTTCAGCTGTTATTTCATTCAGCCAAATTTGGTTAAAAAAGTTAATAATTATTGACTGCTATAGGCAGATACATTTAAATTGAGGCCTATATCCTTGACACTTGTGCAAATGTGCCGAGAAAAATAGACGTGGTTTTGAAGGCAAAAGGTAGTCTCGCCAAATATTGATTGGATTTTGCTTTTTTATTCTTTCCATTTTGTTAATTTAAAAAAATATATATTAACAATGTTTTATATATAAAAAGAGAGAGATTTCAAAGTTTAATGTCACGATGACATGACTTTTGTTGCATCTAAAGTATAGTACATTTTGGTACAAATGGCACTCTGCAGAAACATTTCTTTCCTTCTTGCTCGCCAGCGCTGAGATATCATTGTACAGATTTGTATAGATGTCAATGTACACGATATTGGTCATCTAGGAGAAGTAGAGAGAGAGAGTATCATTGTCCCCTACCTGAAGATCACCATAAGTTGACTGACTAGTGGGCCGATAGCTACAAAAAGTCTCCAATTGTTCATTAAACTTTAAAGTCTGCATTTTAATACATATTAATTAAAGGAACACTATAGTCACCTGAACAGCTACAGCTTAATGTAGTTGTTCTGGTGAGTATAGTCAGTTCTGAGAAAAGGCAGTGTTTATATTGCTGCCTATGGACACCACCAGTGGCAGTCACTCAGATAGCCACTAGAGGTGCTTCCTAGGCCACTTCTGCCCAATGTGCAGCACTGATGTTCAGCGTCTCCACACTCTGCATGGAGATACTAAACTTTCCCCATAGAGATGCATTGAGTAAATACATTTCTAAGAGGAGATGCTGATTGGTGCAGAGCGGCATTTTGCCATGCTTTTCTATGGAAAAGCATTGGATTGGCTGAGATTGTCAGTTCTGATGATCTCAGCCAAGGAGGCAGAACCCATGCAGCGATTAAGAAAAGGTGAGTTTCTAATTATTTAAGAGGAGCAAGGCTGGACAACTACATAGAGTTTGTATTCCTGACCCTATAGTGTACCTTTAATAATCCCTAAATGGTTTATATAATAAAATATGTAGTTTTAAACATTATTTAGTGAGAGATACAGTTTTCAGCACATCAGATTTTCAATGTTTGTTTTCTCCCTATTACTAGAGTACATAAAGCAACTACAAAAGAAATATTGATCAGCAATTTAGCCTTAGATACCATTAGGCATGAATAAAGATTTTTATTTATATCCTATTATTGTACAATTATGATAAATTTTCTACAAGTGAATTATGTTTTCTCTTTTATAAGGCATGATATTCTTTTATTTAGTCCTTTTCTTCTGGATTAAATCATCTTCTTATGCAGAATAATCATGTCAATTACTACAGGTAAATAATATGAATACACCTGAGAAGTCTGGCCGCAGCCTGCAGGTGATGGAACTGGGGAAATGTGGCGGAACCAACCTCGCCACTGGCCACTGGAGGATCCTGGTCATCCGCCTCCTGCCTCTGGACTATGGCCCCATGTTTAACACTGTTCTTTTTCCCTGCAGAAAGGCTGGTTCGTGCCTTTCTGCGGACTGTTAAAGTCACGAACACCGCTGAGCCGCTGTCATGGGTGGCGGTACGGAAACCGGGACCCCTGAGTGCATGTTGAGAAGTTAGGAGTCTTCAGCGTGGAAGTGGATTATCAGGGCCTGGTGCAGGGCAACCACACGCCCTCTGGTGTTGAGCACCAGCGTTTGTGCAGCCACATACCAGAACCCTGATTCAGCTTATGCGGATCCCAGGAACTAGGACCTGCAAGAAAGGGCAGAGACTTGAAACACTGCTGCAGGTCCAGACTGAAGCAAAAGGAATGATGGAAAACAAATGGGTGTGGCAACATAAAATAAACATTAAAATGAAACCAAGAGACTGGGAAATCCAGGGACGGAATATAAGAATGAACCCAGAAACCCAGCATAAAGAAAACCAGACATAGACTAGAAAACCAAAAAAACAAGAAAAACTAAACAAGAATTGTAAAAAGAGTACTGGATACCAGAAGCCAAGTCAGACATAAGAACAGAGAAGAACAGATCCTGACAGCCGCCGACCTCTCTTATCCTACCTGCAGTCAATTATCTGAACACCAGTCCATTCGGTACTTTACTGTTTAAACCATGCTACCCCAGGTAGAATGTGTATGTTCTATGTGATAAATTGAACAATATGTATTTTTATGTATTGTATTGTCCTTTGTCTGCCATGTGGTTAATGGAGTTTTGCCTCTGTCCTTGGAGATAATTGGATTACTTCCCTATTATCTCCAGGACAGAGAGGAGGGATTGTGATGCATTGTGGGATTGTAAGCTTGTGATTGGTCAATGTCCAATATGTTTCCCAGTCTTCCATCTGGTCCCCTAGGGAAGTGTCCACCAGGTGGGAGACCTGCATAAAAGCCGGGCAGGTAGCCCCAATAAATCAGTTCTGCTTGATCCCCAAACGAAATGTCGTCTCGTTCTTGGGGGGATTTGATTGTATGCTGTTACAGTGCAACTGCCAGGAGTGTAAGCTGTTCGTATGGTTTTTCCTGTTCGGCTGTTTAACAGCATTCATGTGTTTCCTGTACGTGAGTTGGAGGATTCGTATGGTTCCAGTTCGGGAGTTGGAGAATTTGTGTGTTTGCAGTTCGGGAGATTGGTGATTGCAGTAGATGCCTGTGCATCTGAAAGGGGAATATCGTCTAAACGGTTTTTAACGTCTTGTGTGCAAAACGGTCTGTTACTGGAGTGAAGGCTGCTTTCCTCATCCGTACGTCAGCGGAGCCACAGACACCATGTTCCCCCCCCCCAACACCCGGACTGGTGGAGGTGATCCTGGTCCAACCCTGGGAGGCAGCTCGGCTATACAAGGGGCAGGAGATGGGCCCACACAAGCACCTCGCAGTACCAGAGTCGAGCAGAATGGCAAACGCCACCTGCGCTACAACCCACTGTGGGGAAGCGCCCAATATCCTAGCAAGGCTGACCAGCAACTTCAATGCATTCTGGAGGAAATTGACACACAGATTAAAGCAAGCTGCAACACACACAGCGGACGACTCATTGCCTGATATGCCCTCTCCAAGCTCCCGACATAGACACGCAGTCCCCGGACCGAAGCATGCTGGCATTAGGAGCCAGAGAAAGCAACGTCTCCCACCTGCACACAAACCTACTCGACTGCGTGAAGATCAGACCCTCCGCAAGTACTTGCTTCCCTGCAAAGCAGCCGGACAGCAACAAAGACAGCGGGCTAACACCGGAGCTCCTGCCCTCTTTGAGGTACCGGGGGGAACCCTAACTGTGTTGAGAGGCCTAAACTGCCAATACTCCTCAAGCTATGACTCCCCGCAACACTCCTCCTGGCTACGGGACTTGACAGGACTGGGCCTACAGGACTCATTAGCCACCCACCTTAGCCTCTGGGGATATTGGGCCAAGTCTGCCTACCTTACCAGCTCCTATGCCGCTGTTCAGGCTATATGCCCACTCCACAATTAACACACATCCCTCTGCCTGGCTTGAGGCCTTCCAGGGAGCCTTATCTTGTTCTACGCTCATGCTATACGCTTCCCACCTTGTTTGTTTTTTCTTTTCTTTTTTCTTTTTTTTTTTCAAACAACCTACTAGCCAAGCTCATTAATTGACACTTACTTAAAGCCTAGGTTACTAAACTGCATATATTGTCTATATTTCTTAGATGCATAGCATGCTCACTATCATAACAATGCAATGTTTTATCTCGCAACATTTTCTAGCCCTACCGCTCATGACACTGTTATGACTGTCTGCTAAAATGTCTTTACAAGCTGCCATGTTTTATTAACATACCAACCCTGGTACCCTCACATTTGACACACGTGATTGTTAATATTATTTTTCTTTAACTATATACTCTCTCGGATCCCAAGTTGAGACCTCTAGTTTAGCCTGTGTATTAATACCATAAAAACGTGCATCTTTCTCACATGCTATGACATTGTATCTAGATGTACCAAGTGCTTGTTACTGCGGTCGTAGCATGACAAGCTTGTATGTCTATCTATGCACTATGAAAATAAAAAATTTTAAAAAATAAAATAATAGGCATACACACTTTACAATTTGCTATGTTTATCCATTTGAAAGTGAATAGTTCCATGCTTTTTTACATATGTTTATTGTAAGGATAATTATAGACTACTCCAAACAAAAAGTGTTTTAATAAAACATTGTTTTGATGGTTTGGGTAACATGCTGGCATATCTCCCACCATTAAAAATAAATAAATAAATAAATAAATAAATAAAATCAACACATTTTGCAGCCCATGTCAAAGCAAACTTCTCACTGCAGCCTGATCCTCTTTTCTTGACTAGCGGTAGAGGGATGTCCCGGTGGCAGGTCTCGTCGAGAACTAACGGGTGCAAAGAGTGGAGGGTGGGGTGTCTGTTGTCAGCATGCCATGTTTGTGCATGACAGACAGGATTCACATTAGCTAGTCCAGTCTGGTGTTTATAGGAACACTCCAGTGCTGTATGTTGCCATCTGATTCCTGGCTTTCCTCCATTTTAAGAAGTCAAGCTATTTGTAAATGATTTGACTTCTGTTACCTGGGAACCACAGGACACATCTCTTTACAACAATGTAGGGCTTAGCTCATTGGCTGAGAGTGTCACCTTATTGCTCTCAAGCCCTGTACCGTTGGACCTAGATCAGTGAGGAGATCCTACGTCTCTCACAAAGCAGTAGTGGAGGTGGGGAGTGGTGCCCGTGAGACCCGAGTTCTAAAATGGCTTGCAACATGTGTATCATGCGATTGATACATTATATGGCTTGTGTTTATATCATGTGATCACTTGTAATGTGATGTACCTGATTGCTGAATTGTTATGTCACGTGATCATCAGGGTGGTTCTTACTGCACATGACCTGTATTTGTTCTATTTAAATATATAAATTCTCAGTATTTTGCAGGGTTTGAGAAAGACCTTTGCAAGGTTTTGTCTGTGAATATTTAATAAAGAAACATCTATACTAGTTTTAGCAGAAAAAGTTTATGTGAACTTGCAAAGAAATTGCTGACCCCATTTTTTTTTAGTAGACATGAGGAACAGAACAAACGGTTTTCAATGTCAAGACCAAGAGATAACAAGTGCAGTGAAAGATATATGTGATGGAACAAGTCTTTGCCTAGAGCAGCATATATCCTCACACCATTTATGAGGCTCATAAAAATATTATTTCGAAAAATGGCTAGTGGTTTTGCTGGTAACCGTGATAACAAATATTAAAGAGTAAGCTTTCCTACGGGACATCTTTAGCTTCTGTTTATTGATTCTGTGTTCCGTCGTTCTTATCTTAAGTAGACGTCATACCCATCAGGGGTTTATTCACTAAACACTGAATTCCATTAATTGAAATCTGAATAGCAAACTTTATGCTTACATAACTGATCTGGAAATATTCTCGGCTATAGTCACACCTACATTATAGTAGCCTCAGGTTTATAATTCAGATTTCAATTTGCTACCATTTGGAGTTTAGTGAGTAAACCCCATGAGAGTTTTGCCTATTAGCTAGATCACTATGAAGAAACTAGTAAATATGAACCAAAGTTTTCTAATGGCTTATGTGACGGAGCTCCTGTACTCCAACCAAGTACCTCCGCCCAGTTCGCCAAGGCAGGTATCGTCCCCTCTGCCTATTTCTCTGCACCACTTTTTCCAGGCAGGTATAGTCCACTCTGTCTAATCCTCTGCAGCCCTTCTTCCAGGCAGGTATCGTTCCCCCTGCAGTCCTTCTTCCAGGCAGGTATCATCCCCCCTGCCTATTCCTCTGCAGCCCTTCTTCCAGGTAAGTATCACCCCTTCTGCCTTATCCTCTGCAGCCCTTGTTCTAGGCAGGTATTGTCCCCTCTGCCTATACCTCTGCAGCCCTTCTTCCAGGAAGGTATCGTCCCCTCTGCCTATTCCTCTGCAGCTTTCCTTACAGGCAGGTATGCACCTCTGCTTGCAATGTGATTGCTCTTATCTTTATAAAGACACTTGCGGATCTCAGGCCTTGCTCTCTTTGATTTTTCCCAGGGCTAGAGAGATCGTGCAGCCAGCCAACAGGTATGACAACTCTGTGACTGGAATCCCTAAAAATCCACACAGGACACATGGTTCCAAAAGTACCTTACTTGCACAGCTTTAATTTTTACTTGGGACTAGCCCACACGCTTGCTACATATAGATTACTTTGACAACTTAATAAAAATACAAAATATCAAATCACATTAGACAACGTACAGGAACTTATAACAACATAATGACATATTGATAAAGTGGTGGGGGAAGACAATAATTAACACAAAACAACTCTCCTGTCTGCAGAATTAGCAATATGCAAATCTACATTTACATGCAAATTAGCAAGCCTTGCTATTCAGGTAGTGCATATAACTGTTGCTACAAACAGAGGGTGCTCTACAGGCTCCAAGGTCAAATACACCTAGTAGCAAGCATCAGCAGAACAGGTGAGCACGCAAAACAATTAACCACAACCATATTATATTCACCCTTCACCTATAATGGGTACAGTGTGACTAAAACATAAGAACAAATGTGTTGTGTCCTTCAAGTGACAAGTGTCCTTCTGCTCCCAGTGATTTTGACTACTGTCACAGCTTATATTAATGAATAAGTGATACTGATGGCAGGTTAACTTAGGCTTGTTTATTATGAATTTGAATGAGCACATCTGGTCTGTGGGAGAGGAGTTTACTGTCTGATCCCCCTAGTGTTCCTCTATCTCTATATATTTTTTGCATCATTTATTGCATTAACTATTATTTGTGATATATATATATGTCACAATGGATCTGAAATGAAACAACCGAGATGCAATTTAAGTGCAGACTTTCAGCTTTAATTTAAGGGGTTGAAGAAAAATATCACGTGGATAGTTTAGTAATTGCAACCATTTTCATACACAGTCCCCTTATTTTAGGACCTCAAATGTAACTGGACAAATTAACACAGTCATAAAAAAAAATGTTACATTTTTAATACTTTGTTGAGAATCCTTCACTGAATTTAGCTGAATCTGAGCAGACAATATATCCCTGTACACTTCAGAATTTATCTGGATCTGGATGCTTCTGTCACATCGTCAATAAGCACTATTGACCCAGTACCATTGGAAGCCATGAATGCCCATGCCATCATACTGCCTCCACCGTGTTTTACAGATCATGTGGTATGCATTGGACCATGAGCCGTTCCAAGCCTTCTCCATACTTTTTTTCCCCATCATTCTGGTACAGGTTGATCTTAGTTTTATCTAAGTTTCATCTATCTACAGAATGTGGTTCCAGAACTAGGCTGGCTTTTTCTAAGATATTTTTTGACAAAGTCTAATCTGGCCTTTCTATTCTTGAGGCTTATGAACGGTTTGCACCTTCTGGTGAATCCTCTGTAATTGCTCTCATGAAGTCTTCAACTTTTACTTGGATAATGATATACATCCTGGAGAGTGTTTTTCATCCACCCCTGTTGTTTTCAGTGGACGTACAGATTTATGTGTTGCAAAGCTCACCAGTGCGTTCTTTTTTCGTCAGAATGTACCAAACCGTTGGCCATGTTCTGGTATTGCTCAGACTTATTATTTTTTTTTTTTCATGGTCTTTTTCACTTGCATTGATATCTTCTTAGACTGTATGTTGTGGGTTCACAGCAACAGCTACCAAATGTGAATGCCACACCTAGAATCAATGCCAGACATTTAACCTGCTTAATTAAAGAAGAAATAATGAAGTATAAAGCCGACACCCGTCCATGAAACAGCATTAGAGTCAATTATCCAATTACTTTAGGTACTTTGAAAAAATCCATAAACCCTTCCTCCAATATGGATGTGAATACCCTCAATTAAAGCTGAGAGACTGCACTTTAAGCCCATATTCATTAACTGTAACTTGAATTTATTTTGGTAAACAGCCGAAATAACAAAACTTGTGTCAGTGTCCAAATATTTCCAGACCTATCTATATCTAATGGATTATTTTTTTACCTTGGTGCATGAATGAGTGCAATGGGAGTCCCCGGGCAGCTTAGCAGAGGAATGGAGAGGAGTTAGCACACCTCAGATTGGCACTCAGCACTCTGTGGAGGAACCGGTATGTATGACACAAACTGAAATATACTAGGAAGGTTTACTGTGCCACTCGCATGCGGAATCCCTACTATACAACCCACTCAGACGGTTGCTACAGTTCACTGACAAAGCCAACCAGCCGCAATCATGCTCCTTGGAATTAAGGGCACGCGCTTTGCAGATGAGACCCATGTGTCAGTGCCTAATTTGGAATATTGTTCTCTGACTATAATTCAGAAAGCACACATATCACACTAGTAAGGCTCTAAGTAAATGTGACATCTTTAAGCTGATAATGAAAATAAAAATAAAAAAAATAAGTGTGTCTTAAAATCGTTCTCTCATTGAAGTGTTCCTAGGTCCAGTAAAAAGTTGGGAGGCAC